GGGAGGGAAAGTCACTCCCAATAGCCGGCTGGCTCGCCCGCTCAGTCCAGCTGGGCTGCAGTCCGGCAGCTCTTTCTGTCACGGGTCGTGCCAAGCACAGCACCAGGCACCGTCCCCAGAGGGCCCTCCTCAGACCCGCCACCCGGACCCTCACCTTCTCTCGCCTGGAAGTCCCGCTGCAGCCCCCGTGGGCCTGTCCGCCTCCCAGCCCTCTCCTGGCCGGGGCCACGGAGCCGAGTACTCATCCTCATAACGTACCCGACGAGCCCAGTGGCTAGAGCTCAGTCTGGGGACGCAAGGGTCCCGGGTCCAATTCCGGTCAAGGGCGCATGCCTCGGTGGCAGGCTCGGGACCTTCGGTCTGCGGGCCGAGGCTCTAACGCTGAGCCCTCGGCCAGGGCCTGTTTTCAAAGCCCAACCACAACCCGCATCACACACGCTGCCCCAGGTGTGGCTTTGGTGAAAGGAAGACAGGGAGAGAGTCAAGGAAGTCCCTCTTCCCGGAGGGCCGGGCACGGGGAGCCCTTGGCAGGAACGCCAACAGGAGGGCTCCGTGGGGCTGTCGTGGTCTGGGGACGCAAGGGTCCCGGGTCCAATTCCGGTCAAGGGCGCATGCCTCGGTGGCAGGCTCGGGACCTTCGGTCTGCGGGCCGATGCTCTAACGCTGAGCCCTCGGCCAGGGCCTGTTTTCAAAGCCCAACCACAACCCGCATCACACACGCTGCCCCAGGTGTCAGGCCCCTCCCGTGAAAGCCTCGCGGCCTCTCCTGCTGCCTTTGTTCAAGGTCAACTTCTCACAAGTCCACACCCTCACCCCCCCCCGCCCCCCGAGGTTTGGCACTCACAGCTTTGCTGAGCACGAGGAAAGGAAGCCTCAGAAAAATAGTGTGTGCCCAGCCTCTCGCCCTGAGCCCCCCTCACGCAGGGCGGGCCCCTGGCCGGTCCCTCAGCGCCAGGAGGCAGGAGCGCTGTCCGAGGTGGGGCCCAAGGCGGGGGTCACGCCTCACCCCTCCTGAGAAACGGAGCGTGAAGAAAAGGTCGCCGTCTCTCCTGAAAACGGGCTCCTGTTCTGGCCTCGGCCTCTGTTGGGTTTGCTTTTCACTACAAATAAAACACCAGCCCCTCCCCCTGGGCCCGGGCGGTTCGGCGGTTGAACATCCACCCATGAACCAGGAGGTCACGGTCCGATTCCCTGTCGGGGCACAGGCCTAGGTTGTGGGCTCGATCCTCAGTTGGGGGCGTGCAGGAGGCAGCCAATCCATGATGCTCTCTCATCATTGGTGTTTCTCTCTCCTGCTCCCTCTCCCTTCCTCTCTGAAATCAATAAACAACAAACAAACAACAAAAGAAACCACCAACTCGAGAAGAATGGCTTAAACATCTCACCCAGGGACCCCAGGACCAGAGCCCCCAGAGCAGCGGTTCTCAACCTGTGGGTCGTGACCCCTTTGGCGGTCGAACGACCCTTTCACAGGGGTCGCCTAAGACCATCCTGCATATCAGATATTTACATGACGATTCATAACAGTAGCAGCATTACAGTTATGAAGTAGCAACGGAAATAATTTTATGGTTGGGTCAGAAGGTTGAGAACCACTGCTCCCAGAGCATTTGCGCGGCATCAGCGTGGACTTTGGTTTCGTTATGCACTGACGCTGACAAGCGCGGTGTTTGGAACGTGTGTCCCACCCTAACGGCAGTACAACCTTCCTTTGATTTTGCCTGTCCTCCAGTTCTGCTCCAGGTTCTGCTCCGGGTTCTGCTCCAGGTTCTGCTCCAGGTCGCCTGCTCAGGAAGCAAAGGGGATGGTTGGTCCCGGTTCTCAGATGTTGAGCGATTTCAACAGATAAGACTCCTGCCGCCTCATCACCTTTGTCCTAAGATGGTCACCCACTGCAGGTAAATGCAGACAAACTGTCGGCAAGAAATTAGCAGCGTCATCCCACTGAGCAGTGACTGTGATGTCCGTCTATATGTATAAAAGGCTAATCTGCTAAGTGTCCCTCCCACCGTCCG